CTACTACTACTACTACTACTACTACTACTACTACTACTACTACTACTACCACGACCACGACCACGACCACGACCACGACCACCACCACCACCACCACCACCACCACTACCACTACCACTACGACTACTACTACTACTACTACCACTACCACTACCACTACCGCTACGACTACTACTACTACTACTACTACTATTCCTGCTCCTGCTTTGGGGGGGGTGGCTTTGACAAAACTCTACCCCGCAAAGGGCGAAAGTTTGGCGAAAGTTCAGCTCAAGATTGGCGAAAGTTCACCCTGCCACATCTGACCCCCAGCCCATTATGAGTAAGTTTGAGTGACCGGCTACTACAGTGATTCTTGCATTTTTGATTCTTGCTGACACCCAGGAGAAACAAAAGAGACGTACAGGGTGTCAACAGTTAAGTAGAAGACACATGCTGACAAACAGTGAAGTTTCTATTTTGTGTTTGCCAGTGAAGAAGAAGCCATTGACGTGAACAAAACACAACATACATGGCACACATAAATACAACGTACTTCGGCGAAAGATAAAACGCAGGAAGGCGAAAGTTTGGCTAAAGTAATTTTTTTTGGCGAAAATGACGGATCCCGGATAAAGAAATTTAGATCAACTCCCATATATATATGTATAGAGACTCAGTAAGAACTCAAAGCACTGAGGCTCACTTCTCAGCCATGACTTCTCCACTGGAGCCACGCTTGGGGTGGTAACTGACTCCACAGATTGGGATGTCACATAGGTGTGAGCATTTGGTAGGCATCATTGATTAGTTCCCTAGCTGAAACAAATTAAACAGCAGGAAAACCAGATATCTGAATGGCTGATGCTTCAGTGAAAAACCTATCCCAGCCGGTCCTCAGGTGCTCACAGGCTTCACCACTGTGGCCGTGAGCTTGGTGACCAAGGCGCCAGAGGCCAAATGCTTGGAGCCTCGGATCGCCAGAGCCTCGTGGGTCAGCAGGTGCATGACCTTTTACCGTGGCTGACCGAGGCCAAACATGAAAGGACCTTTTTAAAGACTACTAGCCATGCCCTCCTACCTAATAGTGATGGCCTCCAACCTAGCAGCGATGGCTATATATTGTAGTTTTGGTAATTTTTGGTATGTTTTGTTCGTATTAATCCTGAAAGACGAGCAGGCATCCCGTTCTTGTACGTTAGGTACTCAAGCATTGAAAGCGCCCAAAAAATAGTGGTTGGTTTCACGGTTCATCCTGAAAGCTGGCCCATTGGGTTCGGACCCACTCGCACTTACTTTTTCTGACTTGATCTCGTGTTGGCGTGCGCGGTTTAAGACACCCTTGACGCAGCGCCATAGGGCCACAGGATAGAGACTGCGAGGCTCAGCAAGCAGAAAAGAGGTTGTTGTGGACTATATTGAAACGGACAAGAACCTGGCAGAGCTCTAATTCGTAGTGTTCCGTGTCGCAATATAATGCACCATGCAGCTGGCGCCCGTGTTTGGCTGACACCTCTTTTCAACCAAAACTTTGCCCATTCCAGCGGAAATTTGTTGGTTCTCTCTATAGCCGATGAGATGATGCCATGGACCCTGGTTCGGGTCATGCATCGTCGAAGAACTGCCCTCAAAGAAGGAGTTTGCGGAGAGTTTCTGTTGGTTGCAGTGTGCTTTAAGGGTTGACTTGTACCCTCGCTTGTTTGTGGTCAGCAAGCTGCCATCATTGAGATAAGCCGGATAAGCTGTTGTATATCAAAGCGGCATGTAAAGTTACACGAAGCCGGTGTCAAGGAAGTGTCCACTTGGGTGAATCAGCGAGGGCAACGGTGGGTGAAATGATAATACCAACGGAGGAATCCACATAATGCAATTAATTCAACTACAACTTGTGCCACTCTTGCTTTTGCAGGGTTCCTCAGATCTACGCATTGCTTTCGGTGAGTTCTGGCCACCAGGATGGGACCACCTGGTGGACGTGTCTTGGCTGTGGAGTGCAATGACGGTCCATTGGGCCACATTCTTGAAGTGATCCCATCATCAAAGGTCATGTTCATCTTAATTGATCCCACTCCAAGTGGGTGCCCAAGGAGGAGGAAGACTAAATCTTCAAATCTCCCGTTCGGCCCTCCGAAAGATCGAACATCTTAGGAGTCCTTGACCACCTCTGGTTGTGTTTGCTTTCATGACATGAAGACTGAGAACAAAAGCTTTTCACCGCTGACATGAAAGAAAATCAACGAAAGCCTGTGGGTGTGGGTCCATGCTTTTTTTGTGTTCGGTGTCAGTTGAGAACGTCAATTAGGCTAGATCATACTAGATCCGATTCCTGACATTCCCAAATGTCCTCGAATACTTGGCTGGATACACACGAAACATGAATCCCATTGAACCCCTATATATGCTGCAGGTCTCCGAAGATGCTAGTGCCAGAAGTGGTTCCCACAAGCATGTCCGAGGTCAAGAACACCGAAAGATCTTGAGTCCAAGGCTGGCGATTGCTGGGGCCTGCGCCAGAAACGCCAAATTCAATCGACGCGCAGAGACGAGAGATGGCATTCTTGCCCAAAATGCAGATTGGTTCAGCTAGGCTAACTTTAGTGCATGCAAAGCCAACTTCTTTTTTTGAACCGCCAGTGAATATACAACATTATACAACCTTGGCATCCACAAATCCAACCGGATCCGATCCACTGGGTCCTTTGGATCTCCAGTTCTACCTTTCATCACGTCGTTCCTTCTTCTTGTGCGCAAGACATCACTGCCATGGCAACACCACCGCCTCGGACGGCTGGGCGGCCGAGTTGGCCTCGCTTGTTTCGCGGCCTCAGCCTTGGCCTGGTGATCTGTGCTGCGTTGCCTTGGAGCTTTGTCGGACCAGTGCCCAGTGGCCGAGCAGAGAGCAAAATCACCAGAGCGGCAACAGCTCCCTGATGAGTTGTTCTTCCTTTTCTGTATATACTGTAAATGTTTCTTTTTATGTGAAAGTTCGGAAATTCCTATTGGGATTGTCTTCAAAAGAAGGCCGAACATTGGACTGAACATTGGGCTTTGGTGGAAATCTCCGAGGCGTCGTTCTCAACCCGTGAGAATCCGGAAAGAAGACAGAAGGAGGCACAGCAGCTGCTGGAGGATCTCGTCGGGTTGATGCAATGACGGCCGAAAGATGGTCAGGTTGGAGTCAAATGTCCTGATAAGCCCAGTCAACAGCTTGCGTTCCGCATTTGATGAGTTTATATAACAACAAATGCATTGAGCAGATTCAAAAATCATGGTTGCAAGTGGATGCAAATCGCGTTTCTCATTTTTCAGTAGATTTTTTCAGTAGATATCCTGTTTTCAACTCTCTTTGCAAAATTTGTCCTTACTGACAAAGGAACAAAGTACAATGAACCACTGCCGCAGTGTTTTACCAGGGCCTTGAAAAGTTGTTAGTTTGGAACTCTTGCTTTGTCAACTCACCCTCTGGATCACATGCTTCTTTGGCATGCCAACATATCTCCAAACCAATTTGCCTGTCATGATCGAGAAGGTTAGTTTTGGCTAGGGAGTTGGATTTTAAGGTCTTGAGAGTTGGCTTGAAGGTGTTCCTCCAAACCTATCCTTCACTCAATCTTCTCATGTGGTTTGTGAGCGGCTTCGCTCGCCGTCCAAGTCGCCCTTCCTCAGGATATCCTGGACGTTGTCCGCTCCGCTGGTGTGGAGGCGGGCGCCGTACGGGGTCTGCAGGCGCTGCGAGCTGCGGTGCAGACAGCGGTGGAAGCAGCAAGGGATGGTGAACTGCAGGAGGCTTTGGAGACGATCCAGCGTTTGGGGAGCCACAAGTCAAGATGGAGTTTGGTCTGGATGGGGGGATAGAATGGATGAGAAGGAGTAGAAAGAAGCACTTCAGCAATCAATTTGGTTGCTGGTGTATTTTTGCACATTCAGTTGTGCATTTTTCCACAAAGGTCAATTTGCTGGGACTCCTGGATGGGGCAGTGGGCCCTGGTAAATGGTCTCAAAACGTCTTGTGGATGGTTTCTGTTGGGATGGGTGTAGGCCATTGTAAGCCGACACTCGAAGGGCTGCTTATTTGGTCACCGTTTTCCTTGTCTGAGAGCCATCCAATTAACCAAGCTCAGGAAAACCAATGTGGCAGTCCGGGTTTCACTTTGAAAGGAATACCGGGATCGTGTCAAAAGCAATATCACAATGGGTATACAGTATACACATACATACATACATACATACATACATACATACAT